TCTAGAAAAGAAATCTTGATATGGAATGCAGCTAGCTCTGATTTGTTTTTATAACTATATAGTATATAGGCTAATCATGGGGATGAGCATAGAGTTTTAAAAAATATAAAAAACTTTGGTTCCAGCCTCCAGTTAAAGTAAAGCAAAATTTTTGGGGTGAATTTCCACCACAATTTTCTTTGTAACTTTTGACAAAGTAAAGCTACAGAAAAACCCTTTGCTCATTCCCAGACACTCTTTGAAAGCAATAAACATTGAAAATTTCAAGTCAATTGGTTAAATCCTCTATGAGATATGTTTTCTAGAATGCGCAAAATGCACATTTTGAGAAAAGTGCGATTAAAGTTAAAAAGCTAAAACGAAGATTGTCTGCACAAATTTGCATGGCTATGAACTATCCAATATCATAGCAAATGTTTCTTTCAGTCACTTAGAAGCCTCCAGGTTCATAGGTATCACCATCAGCCTCCCGTAGGGCATCTTCTCTGCGTGTGCGCCTCATTTGCTCTCCTTGCCGGCGCTTCTTTTCTTTAGCAGAGGTCTGAAGGTCCGATTTTCTCAACCGCCTCTTGTCCTTTTCTTCTGAGGCCTTCTGAGTGTACTCCCCTGCTGGAATTACCAGTCTCTGCATTATTCTTGCTCTGCTGGCAGCTCCACTATGAAAATGGCACACAGTAGAAGCAACTGCACATCTAATCACCTTGGCACCATGATGCTTGTGTTTTGGGCAGCGTGCCCACACCAGTCCGTTGATGCATTCATTGCGATTTTGGGTGGCGCCACGCACACACCTTTGGAGCAGCTTAGTTTCACTAAGTGTGATGAATGTTGGCTTCAGCAGTTCAAAGAACACTTCAGGCAAACAGTCACCTGCTTCATAAGTATTTGTTCCAGTAGCACAAAATTTATTCACCACATACCACACAACAGACAGTTACAACTGTAATTTTTAATAAATGAAAACAATAAAGATAGTACTGAAGAGAAGTAAAAAAACATTCTTAGAGAAAAAAATGGAAACTGCACACTGTTACTAGCATATGCTACGAGACATGAACAGTAAAGAAAAGGTTAAAAGTAAAACAGATGTTCACTTATGTTTTCTCACCTTCCTCGCACACATGTGCTTCAGACAACGTGGCATATAATTTCTTGAGGTCTACAAGTCTGTATCCCTCTCCCTGAAAATCATTTACATCAGAAATCTTTGATGAACTATCTGGTGAATCTTCTGGTCTCATTTTGAGTCTCGAAGCACTGATGGAAGCACTTTCGGCATCTGACAGAGCCTCATCACACGAGGAACTCGATGCTGAGTTTGTGACTTCTCTATCCGCACGCGGCATTTTCTTCGCTTTCCTTGCGTATCTCTGCACTCCAGTAAAAGGCTTTCCTTTCCGCTTTCTTCTATATACAGTATTCTTCTTCCCTCCTGGCATTTTAGACAAAAACTTCGCTGATATAAAACTCGAATCTCGCTCTCACAGTATCTCCACAGTTGAAAACACGCCAGCTTTCAATCCCACGCCACCTCCGACTAGCTATACTTCATGTAAGGGGTCATATAGCTTCCTCTTGAAAATACTGAGGAAATTCTAGGAATTGGATGGACTTTCGGGCTTCAAATTGGAGCAAGACTGAAAGATGCTACGTTGCGTTGCCATGGTAACCAAAAATATTTTTTTACTAGCTTGCAGAAAACTTATCGTAGGCAACAAAATAAAGCAAATTAGTCTTAAAAACTCATGTCATGGCTTTCTTCTATGCCTGAAGTTTCAGATTTCTCCAAAAACAAAAATTGCATTTTGTAGTCAAATTTTAGGTTAAGTCCCACCTTAAGGCTTCGGAGCAACCAGATAAGAAATTCGGCTTGACCACTAATAACTGGCCCATTTCTCTGTTTCAGCCTGAAAGTCCAGCCAAGCTGACCACAAAATTGGAAAACAACATGATTTCCGTGAAAAAGCACAATAACGGAAGTAGACCGCTTGCCTTCAGTTTTCAGCTCCGTTATCTTGCTGTCTATTGCAAGTTGTTGTAACTAACGGCATTGGGCTCCGAACGGAACATCAAAACGCGCGTCCATTTAATATTATTACTGAATGGGAGCAGTTATCAATACACTAGTCGGTGTTGATCGCCTCCTTGCATCACTCAGTGATCACTACAGCGTTTTCCGATTGCTTTCATTCAAATGAAAAAACGCATGAGTCAGGGTATCCAAGAAATTTAGAGCCTCACGACTTCTGTTCGCGTAACTCCCTCTTTGCTCACGCTGACTGAAAAAAAAATAAATAAAAAAAAGAAAGAAAGAAAAGAGTGCTTGTGTTTTGGCTTGAAATCGCTGCACCGAGTCAGTTTCTTAACTTTTGAAGAGGGGACCTGGGCAGAGTGAGGCTGGGTAAGGGAGGGGAAGGGGAGGCGGTTTACTTAATTCGGTCGCGTTTAGTTTGTCTGGTGGAAATTTCATCTGTTCGTGTTCATTTAACAATTTTCATCGCAGCTACCGTGACCAAGAGTTGCATGGTTAAAACCACGTAGAGACCTGATCTTATCTCAGGCTGTCCGCGATTTGGTGACTTAGACACGTTTCGCCTTGCTGGATTACCCTTCGGTATTCTAGAACATTGGTAGACGATCTTTGATCAGGCTTCCCTTAGTTGATGCTGTTACCCTGTCGACGTTCATTTTAATTTGAACCAAACAGTGTTAGGCATTTGCAAAGTTGATTGTCCGTTAGCAAGCCAAGAGAGATCGCAAAAGGACAGTCCCAGCCCTGATTCATCAACAGCTAGTGGAATTACATGACGAACTGATCGACTGTGTAGTAATTCGTCTTCATAAACGCTGGAGCGAAGATAACTGAGAAAATTCAGTGGTCAGAACTTCAAGATGTCTCCTGTTGATGATCTTTCAACTGGTGAGTGGTTCAACGAGTTGCCTTAACTTTTGACTGTTAAGATCTAGCAAGGAATACTTGAGGAGGAATATAGCTGAATCGACAACTTCGCAACGGATCTCTGCTTGACGCCTAGTAATATTATTATCGAGTCAATGTGCAGGGGCTTCAAGTTTTTGGTTAATTTTGAGGTGGTAGTTTTATTAGAAAAAGTTTCATCAAAACCTGGTAACGTTGTTAATGTGAGGAAAAATGCTCAGAAAAGGCTACGGGTTTTAGTTTTGTGAATAAGTAAACAATTTCGCAACATATTTTGAAATATATAGGCGGAAGCAGACTCAGTATCTTTCTATTAAACGTGGAAATGTAACTGAGAAGAGTTAACACAAGGAACTGAGGCTGTAACGTCTTAGGTACAATAAAAATATGGCCTGGAACTGCGAGATCAAACTGCTTCAGCGAAGGAATCGCAAGACGCAACAAACCGATGAAAAGTCAATTACATTCTTCTTCTAAGCATATATTACATAGTTTAGTAATACCGTAAGACCAGCTTCAGAAGCTCGAAACGTGGAATACTACACACTATCTTTAACTGAATATTGGTGTTGTTGTAATGTCTGAATCAGCGATGATATGTACAAGGTCAGTGCCAAGTTGAGATTTACCTAGTAAATTACTGTCGTGCATATGTGCAAATTGAGTTGCCCGTCACGCTTCGCGCAATTTTAAAAAATTTAGCCTATAACATGCATCATAAGAGCTTAATACTTTTAAATTGTTTTGAAATCTTGCTCATACCTTTTTGGTTTGTTCTTCAAAGTTTGATGTTTTTGGAGCTCAACCAAAAATAGTATTTAGTGGGTTCGTTCGGCCTAAGGACTTCAAACATCGATGGTGACTCAGCGTCATGTCAGCTTGTGTCCGTTCATGCTTGAGTGAGTCCTCGGGTAAACAAAGGAGAGAAGATACTTGAACGGAGAATATCTTGTCTCCTATAAAACTGAGGCACTGCTCTAGTCAATTTTTTTTTCTGCAAAACATGTTGGAAGACTGCCTAGAATAAATCTTCTTGTGTTCTATCAGTGCTGCAATCTCATAGGCTACGCTAGTCACTATCTATTGCGTGATAGGTAGTATGATGAGAGGCTTAACAGCAAGCGATTGTAAACGAACTAAAAACGTAGGCTTGTCTAATTGATAAGGTTTGAATGACCTGCAGATTAAAACTGAAAAGTTGTTTTAAGATTCGCCCTCATCAACTATCACGCGATAGAAATCGCGAGCTCATAGTTTAACTTTTAGTGCAATTTAAAATTTTTCATTATCTGTTTTCCATGCATAGAGAGTAAATTGTCTGTCATCCTTGAAAAGAGACCAAAGCTCATCGAGCAATTGGCCTTATGCTTGGACAGAGAAATGAGATTTATACCCAATTGGAGACAGTTGTCAACGAATCTTGATGTCGACGTGAATGTCATTACAAGACTTGGGCAGTACAGTGACTTCAGTCCTACCATCCGAGTGTTTCAATTCTTGGAGGTCGCACGACCGGATTTAACGATTAAACAACTAAAAGACGCGCTACTGGAGATCAGGGGAAACAACTTGTTTAGTTTGCTGTCCACGAGAGGTATGTTAAGTAGAGCATCTACATATCTACATATGAAACCCGGGTGCAATATACGGTCACCGTGGTAAAAACAATTTTATTCTAATCTTCCTCCTGGCAGGGTGCCTTGAGTATCAAATATATAAAGTTCAGTACCTCCAGAGTAATAGGGCGGGCTTTGGGGGCTACAAAATAATAAAATAATCAACGAGTTATGGCAGGCCAATTTATCGAGAGTCAATTAAGTATAGTTTCTTAAAATCATATTGAAAGTTTAAAATGGGTTTCACTTGTGCTACTTATACGGATTTATCGTTCTTAATTACTGATAAAAATTCCGAGAGTGTGACACAATTAATTCAAGAGAAAATATCAAAGCAGGTTACAGAAATGGTTCACGAATTGTAAACTGATGGTGTATTAACAAAACTTCGACCCTAAATTACGGTGCCGATACGAAACTATCGTTCATAATCGCTTATGACATTCCGAGATTGCACCTCAGTGAATTCAACAGATAATATCCAGGAAGGTTACAGAAACGGACTCTCGAAAACGGGTCTTGTACACAACAAATATTTACGCTAACCATGTGCTTACCAGCGTGCTTGTGAGCTCAAATTGCCAGGACCCTGTTTAATTACACGATCACAGCTCGGACGCTTCTTCCAAAATATAATGATTATCAATTTCAGAGATTGATTTTTCAGTTTCCAGCATTAGGAAAAAAATTATCGTATCGCAACCATGTTCATCATAACCCAAGCCGCAAGTACGCCTCGAGATGTTGAGATAAGAGAAAGTGGTTTCATGTTTTGTGAGACAAACCATTTCCTGAAGTTCGAACGAATCCAATAGAAAGCATGAAAACTTAGCGCTGAAAAGTACCATGACTAAACAATGAAATTCACTCATCCCGCTGTAGGACTAACTCTATTTAACTCGTGAGTTTGTTTGCACCACGGATTTGCGGTCGGTAATTTAATTATCACGTTTGACGGGTTCTCACATGACAATATCGTCAAAATCAAATTACCGCGTCAGACTTAATATAAACATGAACATCGCTGACTCAATTTCATTTTATTTCAATTTTGGGAAAGGCCATTACTTAGTTTTTTTTTTTTTTAAAGTGAATTCTGCCATAGTTAGCTGAAGAGAGAAAGAGTTAGAAACTTGCGCTCACAGTTCGCTATAATTTGAAAACTTTCTTTAGTTAGAAAATCAAAATCCTTAAGATAACTTCTTTTCCCTCAACACCTCGACTGTATTAAACATTCCAAACGAAAGGACAAGAAATATCTTGAAGAATGCGAACACTTTGAAATGTTAATCGAGCGATGAACCGGCGCAAGTGTTTTTAGGCGATGAAAGTCAAAGTTATTGTTTTACCGTAACGTGATTTAATTATAAACTGAAGTTAGCATCAAACTAAGATTGGTGAAAAGGTTTGAATTTTTCTGGACCTCAGCGTAAGAGGAAACCCAGATAAGACACGACTTACCTTTTCTTCTTTCTCGAATCCTGTGTAGTTCGCTTCTCTTTGTTGATGACCTCTTTTCAGTCAGTTTTCAGGAGCGTCTTTGTATTTCCTTCTCGCGTTTCTCTTCGCTAGATATTCGCCGTTTTACTTACGCCTTTTCTTGTTCTATTTCGCGTTCCCCTCACCGTATTTTGCCTATTTTGGTGTCCTCTCTAACTTTCTTGTGCGTTTTTCTCGATTAGTCTTACGCCTTTTACTTCTTGTTTTATTTTTTGTGGCTCTGTCTCTTTCTTTTCACCCTATTTTCACTCAAAACCCTCTCTCCACGAACTTGAATTATAACTGTTTCATCCCCTTGACAAAGCTTTAGTTCTGCCGGTATTTTTGGTTTCCGAGTTGATTAGAAACTGCAAAAGGCTGAGAATTACTGTTCAACTACAGCCTC